GTCCCTGCTGATGAAAAGCAGGCCCAAACCATGATGCTGCCACCACCATGTTTGACAGTGGGGATGGTGTGTTCAGGGTGATGAGCTGTGTTGCATTGTGTCCAAACAGTTTGATTTTGGTTTCATGTGACCAGAGCACCTTCTTCCACATGTTTGGTGTCTCCCAGGTGACAAACTTTAAACAACACTTTTTATGGATATCTTTGAGAAATGGCTTTCTTCTTGCCACTCTTCCATAAAGGCCAGATTTGTGCAGTGTACGACTGATTGTTGTCCTATGGACAGACTCTCCCACCTCAGCTGTAGATCTCTGCAGTTCATCCAGAGTGATCATGGGCCTCTTGGCTGCATCTCTGATCAGTCTTCTCCTTGTTCCAGATGAAAGTTTAGAGGGACGGCCGGGTCTTGGTAGATTTGCAGTGGTCTCATACTCCTTCCATTTCAATATGATTGCTTGCACAGAGCTCCTTGGGATGTTTAAAGCTTGGGAAATCTTTTTGTATCCAAATCCTGCTTTAATCTTCTCCACAACAGTATCTCAGACCTGCCTGGTGTGTTCCTTGGTCTTCATGATGCTCTCTGCTCTTTGAACAGAACCCTGAGACTCTCACAGAGCAGGTGCATTTATACAGAGACTTGATTACACACAGGTGGATTCTATTGATCATCATGAGTCATTTGGAACAACGTTGGATCATTCATAGATCCTCACTGAACTTCTGGACCGAGTTTGCTGCTCTGAAAGTAAAGGGGGCCAATAATACTGCACGTCCCACTTTTTAGTTTTTTATTTGTTAAAAAAGTTTGACACATCCAATAAATTTCATTCCACTTCACGATTGTGTCCCACTTGTTGTTGATTCTTCACAAAAAATTAAATTTTATATCTTTACGTTTGAAGCCTGAAATGTGGCAAAAGGTTGAAAAGTTCAAGGGACCTAATACTTTCACAAGACACTGTATAATTTTAATTTTCACCTTTTTGTTTAAGTTTAGTTTTGTAAATGTTAAATAACTAACTAAAGCAAGTGGTTCTTGTTAAAAACACTTAACCCTTTTGCACCATTAATTTGAAAATGTAGGCTTTTAGTGATGGGGGAAAGCTGAAAGTTGTGAACCATACAATATAACCAACATACACTGTAAATGGCTCAGAGATGACCCAGTATGTAACTACTGGAAGTTGACAGTCTCACAATTTGCAGGAGAGAAAATGTCGTGTTGCAAACTTGTTGAACTTTCACAGGAAAATGATTTGTAACGATGATGAGTGAGAAGATCCTCTTTTCCAACTGGTGACTCTGTTCTTTGGTTTGTGCAGGTATGGCCAGAATGCAAAAGTTGTTCACTTCCTGGGCAAAGTAAAACCATGGAACTACTCGTACGACGCTCAGAGAGGTGAGGTCAGAGGTCACTCCGTGCCGTCTGCTGAATGCCAGATGCACCCTGACTTCCTGCTCCGGTGGTGGCAGCTGTATGCCAGATGTGTGCAGCCTGTCCTGCAGAAGGCCTACGGAGACGCCCCCTTCAACAGCGGGTTCATAGACCCGAGCAGTCAAGTAGGTGACCTGAGTGTGAGGCGGGGCTGTGGTGCTGATTGATAAATGTGTTGCAGGAAATTTCCACACCGTGTGCAACGTGCTCGAGAAGCTGCTGGGTGTAGATTTGTGTCTCGCTCGTTTTAATCCTACACTTAAGATGTTTAATGAACTTCAGGTGAAACGGCAGCATTTTGAATGTGATGTAAAACAACAAGTTGGCTTGGAGACTTCAGTACCTTCCTCTAATCTAATTTTATCATTTTAAATAATTGTAAACAAGAAATAAAGAGTTTGGGTTGTCAGTCAGAATTCTTACAATTAAGGAACAACAACTTTTAAATCTGATTTGTCCAGAGGACTCAACTTTCTTAGATTGATCCACCTGGATTATTGAGCAGCATCAGGACTTTATCTCTATCCATCTCTACTGTTTAGGTCCCATCACTTACGGACAAT